ACATTTCATAACCTTGCTTCTCAGGCATTAAATATTCACCTGTTTAAATGGCAATGAAAATTTAAAACCCAAACCGATCTATTAATACAGAGAATGTTGATTGGGGATCAGCTTGCACTTGGTAAAGGAGTAACTATTTTGACCCCACTGGGATATATGCTGGAGGTTCATTGTACTAAAGTATTACTAGTAGAGAATTCGCCATAAAACAAAGCCATCTCTTGGGTCTTCTCCAAGCGATTTTAGCCTTGAAGAACCACAGAGATAGACTTAATATTTTGAGGTTTAAGATATTCCAAAGGTGGTTCTCTAAGTGGTATTATAGCAGTATGCGCTCCAAATCACAGAAAAATTCAGAATGGAGAAGATTGCTTGTAATTGCCAGATGCAAAATTTGGTCTGGAAACTTAGTGAATCTCCCAAAGTGCCATTTCTTACACTACTGCAAGTCTTCCTACTTTGGTTTAAGTATATTTTTCTGTTTATAATTCTTTGAAGTGGAGGATGAAGAAGAAGAAGTACTTTCCTGAAAAGGAGGATGCTGATGACAGAGATATCCTGGATGGAGCAAGGGAAAGGGAGCTGCTTTAATTCCAGACACAGTAAAGTTGCAGGGAGGAGACAGCTCATCTGTCTTAGGAGGGGGACATTTGACCTTACAGTTTTTTTGGAAAGCAGGCAGGGGTGGAGTGGGATGGTGCATTACTCACTTAATTACATTCTAAAAGTTTGAAAGGAATAAAAGTAATTTCAAAATTCTAATAGTGATGTGCAGTTTCTCTCCTTAATCACAATGAGTGGCCATTCATCCTTTTCTTGGAAAAAGTGACTTTTTAAGAATTATCAGTAGACAATGAAATAAAATAACTTTTGACTTAATTATAATTTCTAGTACCATCTTGTGTTCTGCTCTGCTCAGTTTCATTCTCTGTGTGTGTGTGTGTTTAAGAAAAAACTGAGAGGCCTTTTAATTTTTTTAAACTCTCAGAATAAGTACACTGGTAAGCTGGTTACTATAGTGTGGTATTGTGGCAGAAAAACTGGACTGGACAAGAACATCGGGTCAGAAGATCAGAATTTGAATCTAGAATTCAACATTCTGTGTAAACTTAGGTGCATTATTTCCCTTGTCTATACCTATTTCCCCAGCAATGAAATACTAACGTGTGACCTGCCTGCCTCACAATGTTCTTGTGAGGCACAAACAAAACATTGTGTTTGAAAATGCTTTTCAAATGAAGTCTCAGAAGCCTCTAAGTATAAGGTAAATGGAAATATTATTTGTTACCTCCTTGAGTTTACCTACAGTTTAGTAACTCTGTCCTTCCTGTGGTGACTGGAACCAGTTCTTTGACAAAGTTACTGAAAAATCCTTTTTTTCAGAAGATTTGTTATTGGTTCTTGGAGCCCTTGTGATGTGGCTGTAGCCAGGATTTGTCTTAATCAGATCTGGTAAGACATGTGCAGGCATGGAAATGATTGTTATAAAGGAAGAAGTTTATACTCACTAATCTCTAGCAACAGGACACACAGTAGGCCATGCAGGGCCACATAGAGAAGCACCAAGAGTGGTCAGGAGTCGGAGGGGAGAGGGCAGAGCCTTGCTGCGATCCTTTATTTTGGGGTTCTTGTGGTAAGAAAAGGACGACGCGTAGGGTATAGAGTATGGTGAGTGATTTTAGCATTAGATTTGAATAATTTTGCAGGGCTCTGGGCTACAAAGGTAGTCCTTGCTTGTCTGATTCCTGTTCCTGGAGTGCTTTGGGCAGGGGAGGTAATGGGTTGCTATGTGAGAGGTAGGTAAAGTAGATAACAGTGTGGGCTCTGGATTGGTTGGTTTGTATATCAAAGATGTGCTCACAGATGAGTCATTTCCTATCTCTAGGAATTAGCTTTCTCTAGGCAGGGCAATCTCTTCAGGATCAAGGCCCTGTGTGCATCAAGTATACAGAAAAATTAGAAAATATAATCAATACAGGCTGAATTAAAGAAGCAATGTGAACTGAAGACTGGACAATGAAAGAAAAATAAAAGCAGATAATATAACTGACCCAAGTGTGTTTTCAAAGCTTTTATATAAGCACTAAATATAAACCTGTTTTCCTAAATATATTTTAGGATATCTTTTAAAACACTCCACCCACACTCCTCTGAAATGCACAAAGCAGTAAATGTCACTGCATGAGTAAATTATTCCGGAGCACAGTAATGGACTCAGGTTACTCTCAAATTTAATAGTCTGGGTCCTTACCTACATTTTCAGATGCATGAAGAGATAAATAATATTTACAATATAGTCACTCAGATTTTTAGGCTCTGTGCTCAGCATTTTATGTGCATTAGAGATCTTTTTTAAAAATATTTCTAGTAACCATGTAAAGATGGTACAATTATGTGGTAATAGACTTAAAGAATTTGTCCAAGTTCACAGAGCCCTTAATGAATTGAACCTGGTTTTGAGGGCAGGCACGTTGGTTAGAGAGCTGTCACTTTGAACTACTGTGACAGTATTTCATGCCATGTTTGAGCCCATGGAGAGGCTGAATGCCTCTACTGCCTGCTTTATTGGTCACTGGAAGTTAGCCTTCTTACTTTGAGAATGTGTAGATGCTTACTCCGTTGCCCATGGGAAGCAAATCTTTATAAAGGGAATACTTCATTCACAGGACCTGAGGCTGAGAGCTCCCCGCCCTGAAGTATAGGCCTGGAATCCATTAGATGCCAAGGGAGTCCAAGCAGTGGGATTTCAGCTTATCCAAATAACTGAGGATTGTTCTTCAGAAAAGAAATTGGTTCCTCATGTATTCACGTTCAGTGAACGCATACATATTTTATTGGCTTTATGTTTTTATTAGTCTGTAGCCATCCCAAGACTAGATTCAATTTCAGTTGTTTTATTGATCACTTGGAATTTTCCTTCATTTCTTATTTTTCACTTACATTATAGTTCCCCAAGTTCATTGTTTCTTAAGTTCATTATCCTTAATGGTTTAGGCACAGATATAAAAGAGTAGCACATGAGTATGTATCTGTCTTCTCTCCACCACTATACCAAATTCCTTTTGTCAGTAGGACAGGACAATGCTACTGTAACTTTCAAAGACAGCCTTTGGCACAACAGGTGTAGTTTCACTTGTTAATAAGCAAATTTACTGAATAAACAAATAAGAGTATTAAATGTTAACACTATTCAGGAAGTGATGAAAGAGGGCAAGACTTTTATAAAGTAGTATAAAACCTGACTTGCCTTTTTTTTTTTTGAGGGAGGGACGAAGCAAAATAAAAGTCTTTATACAACGAGCTGTGGGCATAATTTAAGTCGTGGAGAAAATACTTCGTATTTCATATAAAAAGCTGTTTAAATTGAAGCTTAAAAAATACGTAATGAAATGTATTGAAAGTGGTTACTAATGGATGAAATGAGCAGGCAGAAGTTATCATAAAATGGTACCCCAGTAAGTCAGTCTTGGAATGAGGCCCATTTGCTTTTTTTATGAAGGATCTGGAAGATGGGGCATATTGTGTGAAATTTTTACCTTTGCAGGTAGTCCAAAAGAATTTACAGTTAAACATAGAGAATGTGATCAGAAATAGCACATGAGACTCAGAACTATCTAAAAATTGGCAGGGGTAGATTATAGATGCAAAGAGCAATGGATTACAATTTGTGCAAGATCTAGATGAGTCATTAAATGCTGTGGTCCAGTAAGCTGGTGTGGACCCATAGGATCAATGGGGTATTATATTGGCTTTACTCAGCAAATATTTTAGCATCTATCATGTGCCAACAGACTGAGGGGAGAATACAGTGATAAGAGAGACTGCTGTAGTTCCTTCCTGCATGGAGCTTATATAAAGAATCTGCTTATAAATGTATTTGAAAAAATAAATTAAAAAAATAAAAATAATCATGGAAAAAAATTAAAAAGAAGAATCTGCTTGTAAACAAGTACACTTGAAATCATTTTTGTCTTTATCCTTGCAGACTTTTGAATACTGTATGTCAAAGATAGGAGGCTTTTTGAAAGGGTACATAAAATGGTAATAAGTAAAGTTAATAAAGGGACTTAAGATCTTTTGTAATCAAGATTAAAAAGACTAATTTCATCCTTTCTTGTGGCAGAGTAGAATTCCATTGCATGCTAAGTGAAATAAGTCAGTCAGAAAAAGCTAAGAACCATATGATTTCACTCATATGTGGGATACTCAACTGAAACTCATAGACACAGATAGACAACAGCACGGGTGTTTACCAGAGGAGGGTACGGAGGGGAGTAAAGGGTAAGGGGGTCAAATATATGGTGACAGAAGACAATTTGACTTTGAGTGGTTGACACATAACATGATACCTGGATTGTGTATTATAGAAATGTACATCTGAAACCTGTATGGCCCTGTGAACCAATGTCATCCTAATTTAATTTAAAAAAGACTTGTGAACTGGAAGATAATAGACAGGATAACAGGGGATACAGCTCATTCACATATTTAAATATGTGGGGACTTAGAGGTGATAGCTATTTTGGAATAATCAAAAGGACATACTTAATAATAATAGGGTAAATTGTTTAGAAATGTGGCATCACCACCTCCAGAGATGGGAGAGTCCCAAGAACAGATCACAAAAATATCAGATGAATTTAGGGTCTTTAAAGTTAATCACTGGATTGAACCTAAACCCCTCATTTAGGGGGTTGGCCCCATTGAGAAAAATCTGTTAACCACAAGTAGCACTGTGCTGTGTGCGTCACTAGTCTGTTTGGAAACTTACAAATCTAGGGATAAATATTTTCGTCTCTCCACCCAGAGGGATGGCATTTCCCATTTGTTTAGAATTTCTCCAGCAATGAGTAAAACAGTTAATGTTGGGCTTGCTTTAACTTCAGTGTCTGTTGTGTACTTCTTATGGAAAAGCCACAACTAATTTGAGGCAGTCTTTGAGGTTCTGAAGGGAGGTAATTGAGTTTACATAGATGTTTAATTTTATTTTCCTTTTCCAGGTTTCCTATGCTCGCCCAAGTTCAGCTTCTATCAGAGATGCAAATTTGTACGTCAGTGGACTCCCAAAAACAATGACTCAGAAGGAGCTGGAACAGCTTTTTTCACAATATGGGCGCATTATTACTTCTCGTATTCTTGTTGACCAGGTCACTGGTAAGTAGGCAGCCGCTCTGGATCATCTTTTACACTTCCTGACTGGCAGATTGTGAAATATTCTGCCTTCCCATATAGCAGTCTTGCCTCTAGAACACATCAAAGGTATATCTGGGCCAGAAAATGAAATTTTCTGCTGGAATTGTTCATAAATATGCATGGATAAAAATAGATTGTGGAGTGTAGTGAGTGAGCTTGAGTCATTTCCACCCTGAAGGTGTAGGTTCGAAGCCTGTTTCATGGCTTGTAATAAATTTACAGATGCTATAATCTTCATTTCCAAGCTGCCACATGAAAAAAAGCCTCCATCCTCCTTATGAAGTACTAATCAACAATCTTAGTTTTGTAAAAAGCATAGTTTAATGCAGCGGCATGCAGCCAGTTCTCCAAGGGAGGATTACACTACAGCAACCCTGGTAATTGCTGTTAAGGCTGTTTTCCAGGTCCATGCTGTGTTGTATGAGCACGTGTGAGAGTTTGAAGTTTTGAATGTTAGGCATTTATTTCATGCCCAAGTTAACTTTTAAATGCACTGAGTGAGAAGACAACTATGTTTATTAAAACTTTTGTATTCAGGGAAGCTTTTCTGTAAAGCTTTTAGTTAAGGAAAAGCTAGCAATATAGATTGAATTATGGATTTTTCTACTATAAATGCAATACTTATTCTTTTTAAAACATATTGAAAATAGAGAAATATGGCAAGGAGAGGGAAAAAATCACCTGGAGTGCCATGCACTCAAGTAGTCACTAAGATTTGGTGGGTTTTTAGAAAGAAAACAGGTAGGTTTTCCTCTTTTCCTTGTGTTTCTTCTTTTTCTCTCCCCTCTTTTATTCTCCCTATTCTTTTTCCCTCTCATTTTTCTTCTGTCTCTTTTTTCTAATGATTAACACCACTAGAAATGCATTATGTAGTAGAGTGTCATATTTTGATTTTTAAAAAAGATGGATTAACCACAGAATAAAATCAGGCCAAGTTTTTAATTCTTCAAGTGAAGATCAATTAATTGATTTGAATTTGATCAGAAGCAACCATGTTATGCTCCTCTGTGCTGTTAATAGACTCATAGGAGGCTAATAAGCAACATACTTAAGAGTTGTGGGTAGAGTTATATCTACCGTCATATACAGACTTTGGAGAATGGCCTACGGGTTTGCTGTATAGAGAAAATTTAGTCTAGTGAAGGCATATAAAAATGTGGTCTTTTCTTCTTAGTTTCATATCATAATCTTCCTTATATGTTCTGTCACACACACACAGGCTGCTAATCGCATAAAATAGAAATCTCAGCCTAAAAATCCAGACAGATTTGTTTAAATAAACAAAAATGCCCTTTTATTTTGTTCCTATCATTCATGCTTTTCAATGAGGACTCAGTGAATTGAGAGTAGGTGTCACCTGTGTTACAGAAAGTTCTTGTCTGAACTGCATGCCCCTCCTGAGTACTTAGGTTCCCAGGTGGGCCCACCTTGCCACCTGGTTTAGTCAGTGGTTTTCCAGTGTGGCCCTGTACCTGCGGTATCAGAATTCTCCTCCAACACTGTTAGAAGTGCAGATGCCTGCATCCCACCCAAAACCCAATGAATAAAATTCAGAGGGTGGCATGTTACCAATCCCTTCAGGTTACCTGATGCATGCTCAGGCTTGAGGACTACTGGTTTAGATGAGTCAGGCTGCGTAGAGGCTATTTCATTGCTAATCTGATACGTTCCTCATGGAATAGTGAAGTCCCCCAGGCTTACTAATTCATAACAGGAGCTTGTAGATAACTCAAAGAATATATTTCCTGTCATGTTATCATTTCATCTTTATATTTAATGGCTTTCAAGGCAAAATTATTCCCTTTCCCTGAAATGAAAAATCCTGCAATTTTGTTATGTAGCCATCAGGTGGTAATAGTGTGCAAGGGATATAGCTTAAATAGGAAAGGTAAAGTGAGGGATAGGGGCTGTCTGAGATGAACACATGTGGAAAATACTCCTTATCTACTTGTAGAATAAAATCCTGAGCAATTGAACTTACACAGAATTAATTGTAAAGCAAGTAGACCATTATTCCTTTTTAAAGTTTCTATAAATCATGATGGTCTAGTGTATTTTCTAAGCCCATCTTTCTCAATAACCTCTCTTTATTTTCTTCAGTGGCATACTCTGAATCATTCAGATTTTTCTAGCCACTCTTCCCAAGCTGGTACTGCTAGTACTGACTGGCTTGCCAAAAAAGTGTTTCCCTGCACCGCTTATCTCATGATGGCCAGCTGTGGTCACCCGCACGGGCCTGCTGAAGCTAATTAAATGGAATGAGTTGGGTTTCCCTTTACTGTTTCTCAAAAGCTGGGCAGGTCTTTGGGCATCCCTTTGCTTTCCCATCCTTGCCTCTCCAAGTGGGAACAGCATGAGGCAGAGAATGGCACTCCATGTCAGGAATGATGCTCCAGCCAGAAAGCTTTCAGGTTTTACTTCTGTTTTATTTTTAAAATATAGATCCTCTTTTGCCTATTTTTTCCTCCATAATAATATTGTTTCTCTAATAAAATATGACTAGTTTAAAGTAGTGGAGCTTCAGGAAACCAGAAAATCTTCTTCAGACATTTTTCTTTAAAGGACCAGTATTCAGTTTAATATTATTAAGTTAAATTTCATTTAAAAATTTAGCTGAAGTACATGTTTCTACCACTGTGCATGTACTTTTCTCATAGCTTTTGAGCGTTTTTTAGCAAACGCCTGATTCTGTTCCCCTTGTTACAAGAAAGGGAGCTATTGTGCCTGTCCTTTCTGAGCTGCTTGTCCAGTAGCAGTAATTTAAAAAATGAAACTCAGGCATGCTATTGACATTATTAAAGAGAGTGTGTTGGAGGGAAAGAAGGCAGGGGAGAGAAGGCATGGACATACCAGTGTGCTTTCTCTGCTTTCGCTTATGAGTAAGCTTGTTGGTAGGCATGTGATAACGCATATTCTATCTGTATAGGTGACTTCATGCATTAAAACAATATAAAATTGTGATTCTAGACTGAATTACTACTAAGCTAAGGTAAAACTTTCCTCCTCCTCTGATTTTTGTGGCAGATGCTATATGTGGGTGAAAACACATTCTTGAGAAGGAACAATTAATTTATCCTTTCTTCTTTTCCTCCTCTCTCTTTCCACTCTTTTTCCCAAATCCTTACCCAAATCTACCATAGGCATATCAAGGGGTGTAGGGTTTATTCGATTTGACAAGCGGATTGAGGCAGAAGAAGCTATCAAAGGCCTAAACGGCCAGAAACCTCCTGGTGCCACAGAGCCAATCACTGTAAAGTTTGCTAATAATCCAAGCCAAAAAACCAATCAGGCCATCCTCTCCCAGCTGTACCAGTCTCCAAACAGAAGGTATCCAGGACCATTAGCTCAGCAGGCACAGCGTTTTAGGTAAGTCTGGTCTGGTTCTTATGCCCAGCTATTAAACTCAGAACCCTCAGGTTCACTGTCCACCACTGGTATTCACAGGATCTCTGGGTTGCTGCTATCGTTATTGTGGTTTTCTTTCTTTTGCTTATGGGCGCAGAGAAAACCTACTTGGGGAACAGTGTCTTTTGCTCACATTGAAAGTAGGGACAAAAGGACAGTAACCTACAGCAGTGAATCTTAACGGGGCAGGGTAGTAGGAGGGTGGGCGGTATAATGTTGCCCCTCAGGGGACATTTGGCAGTGTTCGGAGACATTTATGTTGGCATAACTTGGGTGGAGGGTGCTACTGGCATCTAGTGGGTAGAGGCCAGGGATGCAGCTAACCATTTCGTAATGTGCATTTAGCCCCCAACAACAACAGATTATCCACCTGCAAACATTGGCAGTGCCAAGGTTGAAAAACCCTGACCTACAGGATACTGAGTTCTTCTTAACTGTGTGCCCAGTGCTTTCAATTTTCAGATCCCCTTTTTTACTTTCTTTCTTGATAACATTTTATTCTCCTGCTTTGGTTTTTAGGTCAGGATCTTTCAGTTACTTTTGTTTGTAATAGGTGTACCACTAAGGATATATACCCTGTTTGAATACATTAAATTTCTACAAATGGGTCCCTCTTCCCTTTTAAATTTTTATAGGGGTTGGCAAACCTTCATTGTAAGGGGCCAGGTAGTACATGTTTTAGACTTTGTGAGTCATGGTCTCTGTTGCATATAAGTTGTTTTTCTTTTTTTTTAAACAACTGTTTAAAAATATGAAACCATTCTTAGCTCCTGGGCTATGCTGAAACATACCCAGATGGCAGTTTGGATTTGGCCTGTGGGTGGTAGTCTTCAGACCCCTGCACATGTCCATAGAATGACCATGCATCTTTAGTGCAAAAAAAATTCTATCTTGTAGATAAGTATAAATATTCCAATTTTTTAAGTTCTATGCTAATCCTGAGGTACCAGCTAAACCAAGAGTCATTTAAAAAACATCCCTAATTTGCATGTGAGAAGAACACTGACTTTAAGATGTTACACAGAGCACAAAACAAAATCACTCAGTTTTTATTTTCAAGAACATTTTTTTTAATCATCATTTTTGGCCATGTGGTGTACTGCAGCCATAATGCCATCTAACTCCATGCTGATTTTTTTTTTTTAATTACAAGTGCGTATCAACTTTCTTTTTTTCCTTGCTGCGGCAGAATAGTTATCAAAGATATAATCACAAACAAAGCTTAATAAGGAGTTACGTGTTTTTGAGCTTAAATCACATGCATTTTTTTATTGGGGTACTTAAAATACTAAAAAAAAATGGGGATACAAATCAGTAAGATATCTCCCTTTAAAAATAACACTCAGTTACATCCCCTGAGGTATGAGAAAGTAATTTGCCATAAACACTGTGTTCAGTTCTTACCTCGGGTGGTTTTTGCTCTGGTAGAAGAGGTGACACATTCAAAAGGCTCTGTTTGGAACTGGATGACTAGGTACCAGTTGATTGAGCCTTGTGTTCTCTCTACTTTAACTTTGTGAGGTTAAAAAAAAAAAGCATTGACAGAAAGGAAACAAATACTGCCACCCTTGACTGTAGTGGGCAGCAGGGGTGACTGGGGGGAGAGCTGTGCGAGGCTGCTTGGTACTTGCCTTTGCATAAAAGGATCCTACAAAGCTTTCTTTTTTTCTTTTTTTAGCTATGCCTGTAGGGTTCCTCTGTGGCATCTTAAATGAATAATAACTTTTTGCAAATTTAGCACAGACAAGCTTGAAGGAATTCTGGGTGTGTTTCCTACACAGACCAACTAGTTAACTGCAGAGCCCTGGGGCTTAGAGAGGGGAAAGTTCTGTGGAACTTGTTGATTTTGACACTGAAAGTATAAAATGTTTGATGTTCGTAGAAAGCTATATTAGTTTAAATTGTTATTTTTGCTGTTTCTGATTTAAGCTCTGGTTTTTGTTTTATGGCAGTTACTAAGTAAAACTCTTCTTAGAATTAAGATTGAATTCTGAGGACAGTTTGACAAAGGGACTGAAATGACAGGATCTTCAGGAGAATTTCTGACTATTGAAATGGCAAGGCATGTCGGTAACTCATACATTAGGTTGTTGGTAACTACAGAATCTGCTTTCAGCCTGACCTATCCCCTACTCCTGGCCTGACCTGTGCTTTCTGTTTGCGGTTGGGAAAAGCTTTACAGGATGTTCTTCTAATGGTCAAATTTAATAGCTTTCAAAATATGTATATTGTGCCCATTCTGTACTTTTATCTTTTAGCTCCATATGTTATTAACTCAGAAATTCTTCCTTTCCTTAACTACTGTAATTTTTTGGCAGGGGGAGGGGATGAGAGTTGTCTGTTGAAAGGAAAATTTGGTTTAAGAAAATAGGGAAGAGTCTTACTGTCCCTTTCAGTTTCTAAACTCTCGTATCCATTGCTCAGCTTCCCATTCCTCCCAAAATCTCTCTCCAGATAGTAAGTTTTGAACTAGTCTTTCAGTTCAGTGAAGGTGTGTGGTCTAGACTGAGTGTTAGGAGAAACTGAGAGCCTTCATTCCTGCAGTTCAGTTTTAATCTGATGTGTATTTGGCTGCTTTTTTTAGTTACCTTTAAAAACTTGCCTGTCAGTTACCTTGATTTTCCCCCCTCTTCCGGTTGAATTAAGGTTGAGTCTTCTTTGACCACATAAAGACTCTTGAATTAAGGACTTGCTTGTTTTGTTAGTATTTTGCTCTTCTCTGGTTTAAGTCTAGGTCATTACACAAATATTCTGTTCCTAATATCTGTGTCCTAATGTTCTTAGCCTTGAGTCTCTCACTTTCCAGTGGACACTTAGAGTATTCCTCATGGGGTTTTTATGTTGTTATAGTACCCTTGCAATTGAGAGAAATTGGAGAATACAAATTTTAATAATTAAGGATATGTTTAATATTCTTAAAATGCATATCTTTTAAAGTCGAAAACTTAAAAATCTATGTAATCAGGATTAAGTTTAAAAGTGGGCTTGTGAACTTTATGACTCAGTCAACTCATAAGAATAATTAGAAAGAGTTAATGTGAGTACTGCTGATCTAACATGCTTATTTAATTGACTACAGTTTTCAAAATAAAACCATTCTTATTTATTTGGGTGGATAGTCTAATTTAAACCCTTTAAGTATATTCATGGGACATGGTGTCTGAATTAAATTTTAAGCCAAGTTTTTTCATCTCTTCTTGTGGAGCAGCTTTGATTTTATTGAGGGTGATCTAGTCTAATGGCCTGTGTTGCCTGATTCAGTAAACCTCGATGCATTTTTCAAGGAGCCTTTTAAATCAGCACTTGAGTTGCGTTTAAGGCATTTGCTGGTTGCATTATCACAGTTTCATCTTGGAAGAAACTGGTATCAATTCTGAATAATTTTTTTCTCTCTTAGAGGACAGATGATACCATCTAATTGGATAAGGGGGTAAGTTGATGATCTTGTCCTGGTTTAACTTCAAAGCAGGTCTTGGTCAGTGCTTTGGAGCAGTTATGGGAACCATTACTTTAGGATCTAGAGTTTTATTTTCTTAACCATTAGCTGTAATCTCTGTTTATATATTTATTTGACTTGAATTGACTTCGCACGTTCTCTTTTACTTGCATGTGGGTCATAGTGTGTCATAGTGTTTACTCCCATAGTGTGTCAGCTAAATTTCTTGGGAACTAGGCAGGTAACTTCATTTTATTTTCTATTTATAATAAAGACCTAGCTTTGAAATGGTAATGCTCTATCTAATATATGGTTCCATTCGAAATATTGCCTAGTTATAGTTTGAGTTGAATTCTTACAATGAAAGTGTACTTGTATCCCTAGTATTTTTTTTTCATAAATTATATGCAGTGGGCTTGTGCTGTTGGCATTCATTAACTCATAAACCAACCAGACAGGCGTGAAAGATAAAGATAGACTAAAATGAAATAATATAGCAATGTCTTGCTGATTATGCTGACTGGCTTTATATTTCACTTACCAATATTTTAATAAATACTATACCTTTAAAGCAAGGGTCATAAAATTATGGTAATGATTTGAACTTCTTGTCTGACCTCATATGAGACACGTTGGATTATCTTGTGTTTAAGCATATAATGCAGTTTGTACTAGGAGCAGAAGAAATAATCAGCTCCCTTTTCTTATTTTCTTGGGCTTCCCTTACTATTGTCCCCCCACCCTGATCATGAAAATGATGCTATTTGCAGGAATCTTTTTGAAGATACCTCTTTTTTGAGGATTATCTTAATTAAAGCTAGGTGGGTTTACGTATCTAATCCTGCACATCTGCTTAATGTGTTATATGTAAAGTGGGTTGTATCCAAGCTACAGGACAGAGGAGCGTCACTGTCCCTTTGGGGACTGCTCAGTCATCCCTTAGGAAAGTATGTGACATGTGAGGAATAAATGAGGGTACTGGGTTCAGTGCACTGATTAAATATCAGTAAAGAATATTTTTAAAGTTTAAAAATACATATTTAACAGACACTGTAGTATTTACTCGCCACACTGCGATGCGTCATCATGCGTGCACTCATTGGTCACCCTGGAGTCTGTTAACTTGGTCTCCATTAAAAAAATGGCTGTCGCTGAGCTCTGGGCAGGCCTAAAAAAGATGTGTAATTCTGGAGAATAAGAGGAGTCCTTGTGTCTGAGCTAACTATAAACAAGGCAGCTACAAGAGAACATAGCGCAGCCTGTGCCGTGATTACAGTTTTCCAGCTGCTGTAAGACTTGGGGTGCATAGTACACACATGGAGCTCCCCCCACCTTCTCCCGGCTGTCATGAGAAACGTGTTACTGAGAGCAGAGAGAATGGCTAGGCTCACCTGCACGCAGACAGGAGTTTCCAGCATCACCCCAGGGTCCTGTTTCTTAAGCCCCATGCTCCTCCCTACACACCTTGTTGATGGGGGGAGAAGTGTGGGGAGGGACGAAGAAGTAGAGGTAGAGGCAGATTAACTTGGCTTAAGTTCCAAAAGACTGAATTTTTCTTAAAATGGATATTGAGTAAAGAAACCAGCGAGGCCCATGGTATCACATAGGGTTTCACAGGTAGGAAAGACCCAGTGAGAGGGTCCGCAGAGATCCTAGTATCAAAGTCCTGGGCCTGCTGCCTGAAGATTCCTGGGATGGGGGGTGAATTTTCTCCTTAATGCACGTAATTCACTGCTGGGGCAGTTTTGGGTTCCACCCTGCCTTGAAAATAATGAAAACTTGCTTAGGAGATTCTATTTCTGAACTTTAGTTGGTGCCAATTTCTGGTGGCAGAGTGTAACGGTCCCTACCTGGTCCCACTTAATGGGCAGAGATGATTTAACTATGTGTTGAATGAATGGATAAGATTGCCTCTGCCTCTGGACTTTTTAGCACTTTGGAAGGAGACTTCATTATCTCAATATGCTATTCTGTTCTACAGGTATCATATGCCAAATGCATTCTGTAGTGATCATGCCAACAATTTTATGAAACTATCTGTATCTTATTACTTTCATGATTGGTGTTATAATTTGTGTGCATCTTTATTTCTGATATTTGTGGCCTCTACTTTGGAGTATAAAGATATGGCATCTTTGACTATGGAAAACAAAGCCCTCTCACTTGTGTAGACTTTGCACACACGTGCACACAGCCTCCCCAGCCAGCTCTCCTGATAGCTTTTATTCTGGATTAAGCAGTTAAAGATAGTGGTTACCTCATTGCTTTTATTCAGTCAGTAGATACTCAGTGTAAACCTGCTCCTGCTTGTGGTTCAATGAGGATGAACCCTGCCTGATCCTGGGAGGTTAGTGGGACAAGGCAGACACACACAGATGAGGATCCTTTGTTATTATCATTTGTTCTGTTTCCTTACACTCTGCACTACATCAGCCCAGTTCTCTCTTTACATTTATATAAAGCACACAGAATGCCCAGGGGTGATCGGGAACAGGAATGTCTGAGATTCTTTTTCCAGTTCTGAAAGACTAGAAAGATGTTTTTCAGCTTTTATAAAACCAGAAGGGGTTGCTGTCTGATGTGTGCTTTAGCTTTACTGGACGTCACAGGTGGTAAACTAGAAGGTTGAAACATTGAATTTTCAAACTTACCTTTCACATAAGGGTTAAAAGAGAAAAATTGTTTTCCTGACCCCTAGGTCTTACCTGGAGAGTGTCAAACAGTGTGGCAGTTAATGGCAGTTATGTGGGCAAGGTATTGTTATGCCCCCCTCCTCTCCATACATGTAATTAATTGGTATGCAGTATGGAAATTTGGAACTCTTTGATCAAGCAAGTGCTATAAAGTCATTTTAATTTTGGAAGTAGGAAAAAGGTGTGGAGAGTTTTAAAGAGTACCCACTTGACCACCCCAAATACTTTCTTTTTAAAACATGTATGAGAAGTTCAAGTTGATTTTTGTTTCTGCCTGGCTTCTTACACATTGAGTAGGTTTCCCTTCTTTCATCAAAATAAGCATCAGGCTTGAGGTCCAAACTCCCTTCATTGCTCACTGAAGCAAGGAGTCTGTCATCTGTCTTTCTCTAGATCTTAGCTGAGCACATTGAGAAATAGGAGGTTTAGCTGATTTTGTGTATAAGGTACAACACTACTTTGATTCTAAGAGATGAAAGCCCTTCAGAGTTGGGAGTTCGAAGGGAAGTTTACGGAATTCTGTGCACTGCAGAGAACCACCATTGACTAGTCCTGTGGTCCTGGACACGTCACTTACACCATCTGCCTTAGTGTACTCAGGAACCAATAGAGTTAAGAGAATTAAAATAGTACTAAGGACACGTAGGTGTATGTGGAGCACTTAGAACTTGCCTGGCAAAAGGTGAGAACCCAATTAACTATTCCAGAAGCTCCACCTCCCCTCTCTGAAGGGTTTCCTCAGATGACCACCAGTGTTTTCTCTCCATTGCACTGACCCTTGTAGAGATAAACTTGTATCCATTGGAAGAGTTAGTGTCTTGTGGCCGCAGGTACCCATTCTTTGTGAAAAGCCCTTCACATAAAATTAATATCCAAATATCCCCTTGGAAGATGGCAGTAACAAGCCCAGCTTTCTTGGACATCAAGGGGAAAAATTAAAAACTGAAATTTGCTAAATGTGTGTTTTGCAGGTTGGACAATCTGCTCAATATGGCTTATGGAGTAAAGAGGTAATGATAGAGGTTCATGATACTCATAATTCCTTCCTATAAGTGATTAGTTTCTTTGATTTTGGGAGTGACTTCCTTCATAAGTTTGTGTTGGGTTTTCTTTTGCATGTACAACCTAGTGGAAAGCTGCTTTTTGAAGCACGGTTGACTGAAAGAACATCTTTATATCACTGGATGCCACCCGGTCTTTAAAAACCCATTATTTATTTTATATTGCATTGCGACGTTATAGCATGTTTACATATGTGTTGCACCCCTCCCCTCAATCCTGCTTAGATCCATAAGCCAGTTCTAACTATATTTTTTTGTTACTGTGGATAATATTTAATACAGCACATAATGACCATTTCATAGCTTATTAATGCCTTGATAGTATAGCATGTCACTGCAAGCCACACAAAGACTTTGATTGAGTCATCAAATACATAACTGTACTTCTCTGTTGGGGGAGGGGGTGTTATAAAACTCTGGGATGGGAAAGGGAAAAGAATCCAAGTCCGTTACTGTAACCATCCTGTTTCTGTTATGTTTTTCGTGTGTGTATTTGTGTGTGTGTGTGTGTTTTTGTGTGTGTGTTCTTGTTTCCTATTTTGTTCAGTAGGTTTTCTCCAATGACCATTGATGGAATGACCAGTTTGGCTGGAATTAATATCCCTGGGCACCCAGGAACAGGGTGGTGTATCTTTGTGTACAACCTGGCTCCTGATGCAGATGAGAGTATCCTGTGGCAAATGTTTGGGCCTTTTGGAGCTGTCACCAACGTGAAGGTCATCCGTGACTTTAACACCAATAAATGCAAAGGTTTTGGATTTGTGACTATGACAAACTATGATGAGGCCGCCATGGCAATAGCTAGCCTCAATGGATACCGTCTGGGAGACAGAGTACTGCAGGTCTCCTTTAAGACCAACAAAACGCACAAAGCCTAATGCGCTCTTGTCCTCAGTCCATTTATATATGAAAACTATACAACAAAGGCAAGTTAAGAGAAACTTTATACATTAGTAAATGTCTTTGTAAGTCAGTGTTGAGATGGGGATAAAACGACTACTTAGCATCCTAAGAAATATGTGAGATTTTTTATTGCTAGTATTTGAATTAAAACTTCTTAAATATCTTTTATGTTTGAATATGGACAAGAGGTACAGGGTTTTTACCTGTCACATTGCATTCTATTGCCTTCTTTGAAGAAGGTGGACCTTTTAAAGTGTTTCAGCTAAGGGAAGACATTTCTTTTCTTTTTCCATAACTGCCTTGAACCTGTGAGTAAATATTGAGGCTTTGTGTTGTAATTCTTCAGTTGGTTATGTCTTTTCCCCCCTTTTTTTCTTTTTTCTGATTAGCTTTGTGTTTTGTTTACATTTAAAGCATCGCTGTTATGTCTAAGAAAAGTATTTTGAAGTTTACATTTTTATTTATGGAGTTAAAAACAGTATTTATTTTATGATTATGATTTGGGTTGGGGAAGGGGGGGGCTACATTATAAACGCTTATTGTAAGAATACTGGAGAACTTTTCGTAAAGCAGTACCTTGCCAAAGAGATAAGAGCCTCTTTGATGTGGGTTTAAAAAAAGCATCTATTTTTATAAAAAAGAAAATTTGGAGAAACTTTTTACTGGTCCTGGAACAAATATTTTGACTTGAATACTTTGAGAAATCTCTTCATATGACACCTAGTGAGCTTTTAAAATTTACCAGGAAATTTGCAGCGGTTGGAAAATTTAGAAAGATTTATGATGTAGAAAATACTTTTGAGATCTTTGTATGAGAGGAATAGAATCAATGGGGGAAACAAACACTGCTGGTTTCGTTTTTGTAATCACCAGTGGAGTGTCTGATCATCCTGGTTATTAGGTGGCTCACATTGATTTGTGATTTTGAAACAAATAAAAAAAATTTACAAAAGAATATATAAGAACAGGCAAGAAATTTAAATTACCAAGAGATGGGGGAAAAAAATCTGTTCTTCCTAAAGAAATCCCTTCAGATAGAGCTCATGGTGTTTAGTGATGTACTTGCAGTATTGTTTGAAGAATTGTTTTGTCTTAAGGAAAAAAGATGTTGCACATGATTTGTACTGCAGCAAATCGGCAAAAGTGATCTGAGTTGGATATATTTGAAGGTATTTTGAAAGTTACGTTCAAGGCTAACACCTGAGCTTTGTGTAATGTAAATAAGACCTTGTGTTTATGACCCTTTCAGCTAATTTGATTTTTTTTTCCCTTACATGCCAAGTGATGTTCAGGTTTTGAATGTTTTTGTATCAGTTTTTTCCTTTGTAAATGGCATTAACATTGTTACTTGAGGTCTTGCTTAATCACTTTTGTTGTCCTGAGGACTTGAATTTACAGTGCATCAGATTTGTTGCTAATTTTGTCTGTAGATAGTCTAGCTTCAGCTGTTTATGGTGATGCTACATTTTCGTTTATAAATATGTTTGTGGTAAAAAAAAATGAGTATAACCATAGGTTTTGAACAAATTTCCTTACATTTTTCATACAAAAATCATAAATATCTGTATGCTATTGAAATTTAACTTTGTATGATGCTTAAACCACTATTTGGGGAAATAATAAAATAAGTCTTTACCATGTATGAAAGAAATTTTAAAAAATACAAAATATTTTCTGATTAGCATCTAGCTTATAATAAATTTTCAAAAAAGCTGAAGGCAAAAATGCCTTCATCAGGATGCACTGAGAACTATATAGTTACGTCCTGCTTTTTGTATAAACTGAGATGCTCACGTGCTTCCCCTTAGAACAGGCAATGTGCTATGCATAACATAGTTGTACATTATCTTTGCAGTTGCGTTGAGTTTTATTTTTTATTATTTAAAATTGTAGTTATAAAAATTTTCAGTATAGTACAGTACATATACTGTGAGGCGCGTGCTAAAGTGAATAAGCGAGTTTTCATGCTGACCCACTCAATGCTATTCAGAAATCAATTGGCTTAGCACTTTCTCATATCCTTAGGTGCATTTAGATTGTCAGAGTTAACCTTCTGCGTTAAAAAAAAAAAACAAAAAAAAACTAAAAAGCTAAAAAACAAAATACATGTATATACTTAAAAAAATAAGATTTCCCTCACGGGAAAACAGCATTTACATGCTTCTTTCCTATACTACTGTAGCAAACCAAGGCATTGATGAGAGGGCATGCAAATTGTGCTTCACTTTACAGTGTTTATCAGAGCACTTAATAAAATGTAAGGCTGGTATTTATTTGAAGTTGTACAGTATGACTTAATTCACATCTGTTGGAATAGAAAATATATTCTGTTGAGTATTTAAGAGGCTGTACATGTTTTCTTTTGTGTTTGGATTCTTTGTACTTTTTCATGTTCAGTACATCAATAAACAAAGTTGAAGGGAAAGAACAGTGTGGTGAGTAGGTCTTTATACACATTTTGGGGGCTCCTGTGCTCAGTCAAATAAACTTGCTCTCTTGAGTGAAAAGAGGTTCCCCTCAGGGTGTTAGTTGAAAGCAATGTTGTGTAAAGTAAAAATTTCAAAAGGCGTCTTAATTGAAATAGAATGTACAACAATTTTTTTTGAGGGACACCATCTGATGAGTTAGCTTTCAAATATTCCTTGATGAGTAATTTTTATAGGAAGATGTGCTTTCATTGGCTGGTTGTAATGTTCGAGTAATTGGATGCTGACATCCTTCTATAGCTCTGATTTAATAACCATCAACCTTTTATTACTTTTTTCAATTTTTTTTGACAAGTGGGAGTTGTCCTCACATTTATTTGAGCTAAAGAGAAACCAAATAGAAGGAAGGTAGCTTATTCTGCTTTCACTGTCAAGATTTAATTCACCCATAGGATTAACTGTTGGTGTGTGAAATTTATATTTGTTGTCCAAATGCCAGATTGTCAAGAGATTCTTCTCTAAAATCAGAAACTCGGTTTTAATTAGGGTAGGGTTGATGTGAGTAGCACATATGTACAAATCATGAACTGTGCCAACCCTGTGTTTCACATACATATTCAGTTCTTGTAACACATCGCTAACAGAAGAACATTTCTTGCTGCTCTTTTATGCAAAGATTCTACTACTTTAAAACTTCAGAAAATTTAATATATCAAGTTGAAGTTCTTTTTTTTTTTTTTAACAAAATACACTAAATGGCTGCTTTTAATTTAATTGTATCTGTCAGCTTTTTTGGTAAAAAGCCATTCTAAAAAATAATTGTCCTGAATCCACAACTTGGTAGTCAAGAGCATAGCTGAGTGACAAGACGATTCCCTTTCTTCCAACATGCAATTAGTCTCAAGTCTCCATACTCCCTTTTTTTGATTATATGAATTTAATACACTAATTTTGTGATGTTGGAACACCCTCCCTCACCTCTCCCCTCTTGCATGCTTATCAGTATTTTGACTTATTCACTGTCAGCAGTTCTTACACTTGAGCAGACAGTGGAAAAAAGTTTAAGGGAAGGAGGTTTTGTGAAACTACTGCTATACATGGGAGGTGTTTTTTTCCATAGAATCCTTTCACCTTATGCTTATAAATGATCTAGGGTATCACAGTTCACTGTTAGAGTAGCCAACAAAAATTTTAAGTCTTAACATTATTTTAATCCTTTTTGAGGAAAAGGGCTAGCAATTTAACATTCCAGTTAAAAAAAAAATAGATCACAAATACTCCTACCTACCCTCATCTGATAAGAGGATCAAAAAAATGTAGTGGAAACTTGTAATTTCCTGTCCAAAGGGTTACCTAGAAATAAGAAAATGCATGTATTTTACAAAATAACTGTGCTGAAACTTTAATATAATACCAGAACAATATGCATCTATCTTTCACTCGGTAGAAGCTATAAAAAAAATGAGACAGTGGTTTTGATCCTTTATGCCTATTTCTTCTTCTTAGAACCTTGGAACAGTGAAGAAAACAGAAATATTGCTGAAATTGTAACAATTTATTATTGTTTGAAGAACAGTTACAGCTTCAGTTTTTGCAACAAATGGTTTATTTTACTAATTTTTGTATTCACCTCTGATAATTCCCCAAAGTCATCTCATTCTCTTCAAATTGGAAGGATTAAAACATCTACATCATTAATACAGGCAGCCTGTTGATATGTAGGGTTACTAAAATTAACCTTTCCAGAATTCTGGTTCATAAAAATAAACAAAAGCATTATTTTGGTTGTTCAGCACAAGTTTTTAGTGGTTACTCATGTGCTGTGCTGTGCTGTGCCCCGGGACTGTGAAAATGAGCAGATGTGGCTCTTAATCTTCTTGGAAACTGTCACCTAGGAGGGAGGACAGACAAGCCCCGGCATGGCTGCGCTGTCCTGTGTTCTGTGAGAGCCCAGAAGTAGCCATCGAGCTAACTTGCTGTTTTTATAAACCGGGTACAACTTGCAAAAATGAACCTGCACTGCCCTTCGAACAGATTCTGCTTTTCCTTTTTTGAATTGATTATTAGCTCATTTGTGTAGGTTTCAGTCTGACATCAGTACCATTTAGTTGAGTGAAGATGCTTTTACATTCATTAAGTTGTCCAAATCCTTTCTGAGGCAAAATAAAAGTTACATATATTAAAACACTATTTGTCTGAAAGGTTGGGTTAATGGAGGAATTTGGATATTCTTCTTTTCTCTAAACATATAATACATGGAGTCATAATTTGCAAAGCACTACTAGGATAAAATACCCAAAATATTAAAAGTATGCTGACTGGCTTTATTCTACTTTGAATGAAAGCATGTCACAGTCTTAGGGTCTCAAATTGCATATTAACATTACCTTTAGTTTAAGAAACTAAATATGTAGATTAAGATGTAGTAGTTGATACTAACTCCCAGAAACACTCATGGATGCTACTATGTTCTAAATACTTGATAGCAACCAAGCATGAACCCCTGCTGTGTACAGTGTCTCCAAAGAGCAGACATGAATACGTGGAAGACAGAAGCGTCTCTGTTCTCATGCAGCTGGTCTTATGTTCCAGATTGGTCCACATTCACAAGTAACTACAAGGTGCAAAGAAAGTCAAGAGTGCTGTGTACAAACTACATTAAAAACAAAAGGAG